CTTTTTTATTTTGTCACTCACATGCCTGTTTGTTGCTCTGATCATGCACCTATTTTTATTTCTTTTAATCCAAATAATAGACCTTGGGTATATCAATTCAGATTTTTAAATATGTGGATGTTGCATGATTCTTTTTTACGTTTTGTTAAAGATAATTGGTTTTGCGATGTTGTGGCTAACAAATGTTAAAGATTATGGCTTTTATCGAAAACTCTGGCTTCTAAACTAAGAGTAATTTCTACTGTTCTAATGGGGTTTCTATTATAAAGAAGAATTGGATTCAAGACTTCAGTGGTTATGCTAAGGATGATCTTCTTATGGTTTATTTGGGTTTCAATTTAGATAAAGGCAAAAGGAAAGTGAATTTGTTTGATAATATTATTGATAAAATCAGGAAGATGATTCTTTCTTGGGGAAATCTTCTTCTCTTTTATGGTGGCCATGTGACGTTACTTAAAAGTATTCTTACTTCTATTACTTTATGTTTTATGAAAATGCCTTTAATTGTTTGTAATTAGTTGGAAGATATCTTTTAACAAGTTCTTATGGGCTGGTAAAGACACTAAACTTCATTGGATGAGGTGGAAACATATGTGCAAGCGCACGAGTAAAGGTGGTCTTGGTTTTCGTTTTCTTATGGATACTATGAATATCAGTAATATGAAGTTGTGGATGAATTTTCGTTTTGGCACTTCTCTTTGGGCTAAAATGACGAGAAAGTAATATTATGAGGATGTGCATCCTTTGACTATGACGAGTAAAATTGTGGATTCTTTTTTCTGGAAATGTATGCTTAATGTTGCTAAATGTATTGAACCTTATCTTTGTTGGGATATTGGGGAGGGAGTTTGCAGTTTTTGGTGTGATAATTGGATTGGGAAGGGTTCTTTAGCTGATTGTTATGGGGGCTCTTTTGATATTAATCTGCGAGTTATGGATATGTGCAATGAGAAAGAATGGAACCTTACTCAACTTGATAATATGGTGGTAAGGAGGATTATGTTTTTATTGCTAAAATTCGTATCACTATGGGTCAGGACAAGGTGAAGCTTAAAGGGAGGATGGGTATATCCGCTTCAAAATTTTTTTCTAATTCTATCAGTTATTCTAATGGTAAGGATATTCAGTGGGCTTGAAATGCTTTGGTTAAACCTACTCAATCCTTCTTCTTTTGAAGACTTTTACATAAGATTGTGCTTTCGGATGATATTTTAAAGTTTAAAGGTTTGTGGTTCCCTTCTATTTGTTATATTTGTAAGAACCATGAAGAAAATTTCGATCATTTTTTTGTTGTTGTTCTCGTAGTGTTGAATTGTGGGATATGGTTTTTGTCTTATTCGACTTTCATGGTATTAGGCTCCAGTGTAATTATATTATTGGTTTGATTAATTTTTGGAAGAAGGAAGGTTCTATCTTTTTCAGATATATTCCTTGGTATATTTGGATTGCTCGTAATAAATGCAAATACGAAGGTATGGTGTTCTCCATTTATAAATGTTTCTATCAAATTAAAGGTTTTGTTTTGTAAAATGTTGAAGTTTGGAAAGTTTTATCACTCCTGTAGTTCGAGTATTAAGTGTATGTTAAGTAAACTTAACATTGCTTTGTTTCGTTAAGCTACTTCTGCTATTCAGTTGATTCGGTGGAAAGTTCCTGAAATTGGTTGCATTAAAATTAATACGGATGATAGTTGGTCTCTTCTGCAGCGGGTATGGGAGGTAATTGCGGAGATTTTACTGGACATGGTATTATTTGATTTTCGGCTCTTGTAATTGCTTCCACCTCGACTGAAGCAGAAGCTGAAACTGTGATTTATGGTCTGAAGCTGGCGGTAAGGTGTGGTTGGACTAAAATAGCCATTGAAATGGATTCTATTGATTTATGGCTTTTTGTTGTAGGAAAAAAGATTATCCTTGGAATCTTATCATTCATTTGAAAACTTAAGGATGGTATTCAGGTCAGTTGGCTCTTTATTCATCGAGAAGGCAATAAATGTGTGGATTGGGCAGCGAAGCAAGGTTTGAAGACTCAAAGAGTGGTTTTTTCTAATGTGTTGCCTTCGGTCCTTGCTTGTTTGGTTAGGGTTGATATGCTTGATACTCCTTCTATTCGTGTGGTTTAGTGTGTTATTTTATTTTTTTTTTTTGTGGATTTTTTGTGGCTTCAAGTACTAAGTTTTTTTTTTATTTGTTAAGTGAGTTGTGTTGGTTTTTCTTTCTTTTGGGTTTAGAGGTACTTTTGGCCACTTCCTTGTAATCCTTTTTTTGATGGAATAAATTAGAGCCATATAATGCTCTGTATTAAAAAAATATTAAGATCACTAAAGTTAATCGTATTTTTAGAAACTTCATTGAAAATTTTTTCAAAATATCTCACCCACCTATGTTGAACTTCTTCCTCTAAGAAAAAAACTTTTGATTTTTCATCTTTAATATATTTTATTTTTCTTTTCTCTTTGTTAGGCTAGTTATACATATATTTTTCATCATTTTTAGCATTTAATCTATTATAAGGACCACTGCCAAATTCTTTGCGTCACAATAGACTCCCAACAAGCCACCTTTCTATAAGCTTTTGCATTCAAATCAAATTTTATAACAAAATTTTTTATATTTTATCTTTTCTTTTACATTATTATTCATCTACCACCTATTTTTATTTATAAATTTTTTTTCTTTTGATTCTACATGTACATCTTTTACCACATATTTAATAGTATCTATTACTTTATTCTAAGAACCTGCTTTTCATGAATATCCCAAATCTTAAAATCTTGAAGTTTACTCATAAAAATTATTTTATCTGTCTTTTAGGTGTTCTCATTGAATTGTTTGACAATGTTTCATTGTATTTTTTATCTTCCAACTTCTTATCTTAAAATCCAGAATTAATAATTAATGTTGCGTACTTAAATTTTCACTTGGAACGATTTTACAATCATTTCATTCTCGACGATCATTTTTTCTTATAAGAAAATAATTAATTTGTGTTTTATTAGATTCATTTTTATAAGTAATAATATGTTCATCTCTTTTCTTACCTAAAGTATTAGCGATAATCATATCACATGCTAAAACAAAATCTAATATGATTCTACATTTTTCATTAATAATTCCAAAATTGTAGCCACCATGAATATTTCTAAAATCTTTTACCATTCTACTAACATGTTCATTTAAATCTCCTCTAATATAATTTTTTTCTTCAAGATGTATCATTTGTATTAATTTTTCTAGGTCTTTCTAAAATATTTCTTTTAAACCTATATCTAAACTTACTTAAGGTGCATAAGTACTTATAACATTAAAAATCTTAATATCAACAATAATTTTTATAACTCTATCTTAAATTCTATTAATTTTTACAACATTATCTTTCAAACTCTTATCTATAATTGCACCTGCACAATTTCTAGTGTGATATATCAAAGTTTAAAATATAAGCTATCAATCTCCTTAGTTTTTTCTCTAACCTATTTAGTTTCTTGAATGCATAATATCTTTATATTTGAATGAACTATAATATCTACTAAATCTATTAATTTACCAATGAAAGTACTTATATTCTAATATTTTATTCTGATATTAGTTTTATGGACTAACTTCTATACCCACATCCATCCAAGATGTGGGAACCTTTGTTTATTTGACACAACACTCATGCGTCAGTGTAGCAGCCCTTACACACTTTTAGTTGTATTCAGATGATACAACGCGTCGTTTCTAGGGGACGTCATAGTATTTACACAATAATTTAAAGGATTCATTGTATGATTTTCCGACAAAATTTACGCTGCTTGTCAACTATCTAACACAATCCTCCATTTCTTGCTTCTGGTGCTTGGGATCCAACAATGACAGCGCTTAATCAATTGCCTTTATAAATTAATTTATTAATCTGTAATAATCTTGCTATACTACTTCTTATTTTAACTCCAATTAGTGATGAAGCTTATTATGAATAAGCAATGAGTAATTATGGCTTTTATTTCAAATGTTCAACCATGGTAAAATATAAGCACGTACTTTGAGAATTGGATATTTTAGCATGACCTAACACAATGCTTTTGACTTTTATTTTGATAGTTGATGCAAGATGATGCTCAGGAACAGGATTTCTTAGTGCAATCACTATGATGCATTACATAATTCCATGCAAAAAAATGTCAAGGATTCACATATCACAAGTCAATAAAATCAACAACTTTATTTATTTGATTTCTAATAACTAATTGTACAGTTTAAAATCAATTGATAATGAATTGATTGAAATAATACAAGAACTTCAAAAAGAAATTAAAATTATATAAAATTAGTTGAGTGCAATTAATTAATTTTCACAATTTAGATTTTTGATGTGTCGCTTTTTGATCAAAATCAAGAGCACTGAATTAGCTGTACTTTAGAATTGCTAGTTGATCTAGGAATCTAGGAGATTATTTTGCACGCTATAGAAGATCTCCAAGTCCTCTTCTATTCCATGATGCACTAACTAACCCAATATGCTATGTTTGACCGATACTTTTTTGACTTCAGTATAGACTTTGATGCATGATGACTATTAATATGGAGAAATCAGCAAAAGTTTGGGTGCATTAGTGATAGATGCATTACAAAATTATAATTTGAATATATGGTCTTTACTTTATTAATACTTATCCATTCTTAAAATTAAGGTCAATCTCCAAAATTTAGAAAACTTATTTGCTTTCTGGTTTTTATATAATTTGATTTTCCATGAAATATAGAAGTTAGTTTTACGTTTCACGCCTTAAATTTAGGACTAGTGGTTTGAATTGAGTAATCTCTATCTTTTTTCTCATCAATTCTTATCCATTTGATGCTTCATATATGGTGATAATAGCTATTTTTATTTGTTCTTTTCCATTCTAGATACATTTTGATTTAAAGTTGAGTGATCTCTATTTGGGTGGACTAAGATGTGATCCCATCTGCTCTCCATCAGGCTAAAATCACAATTGTATCATGTTCTATATGCAGTGTTCCCGTCGTTTGCTTCCCTCACAGACTCTTGTACGCCTATTTTGTGTGATGCTTCATGAAGTAAAAGACACAACTCTATAACGAGCAATCCCACCCTATGTATAGCAGTGCTCCCGCCAGTCTTCACAAGAAACGGAAGATGCGATCCCGTCATCACCTTCCCCACTAGCTGAACTTGCGGCTCTATTGCAGGACGAAGCAGGAGGAGAAAGATGTGAGTTTCTACGCTTAGATCACATCGTGAACTTCCTTTTTTAGCAATCGTATCGGGAGATTCAATCATGAAGGTATCTCCTCGATGCTTCCTAGTTATTTTTCTCGCAGGAAACAACTATTTCTCACGCTAGCAACGATTCCATGGTGATCTTCCATAAATCGATGCTCTGATGTGAATTTGATACGATTCTTTGTAAAAATTAACACAAAGTTTCACAAAAATTAGGGCAACCATATATTTTATTTCACGAACACCAAATTAATTATTTTTTATTTCACAGAAAAAAAAGAAGAAGAGAGGTAGGCGATCTCTCCTACTTCCTATCATTCGAAAGGTAGGAAATCTCCCCCAAACCCTAACCCTAAGAACCGAAGACAACAATTCTCATGCATAACCCAAACCCTAAATATATTAGCCTTATTTATATCAAATAATAATAAATTTTAAATGATTAAATTACCCTTAGACTAATAAAGACTAAATTGCCTTTAGATGCCATCATAACCGATCGTGAAGCCATTAAATTGCAAGGCCTGATGCTGATGTTCAAGATGTTAAAATAGGATTTGTTGATGGCATAATCTATATTGTTAAGATGTGTGTATGTAAACTAGCATTGAAGGGATAAAAGTTATAGGATCCACCTCAAATAACCTACTTAATTTGATGAGCCATAAGCAAAAAATTGAGTTTAAATGAAGCTATTAGATATCTTTCTCTGTTTCTTGATGATACCTGCTTTTTAAATTATTCTTGATTGTTATAAATGCAATGATTATAAGCTTTCTTCATTTGCAGGCACTTATGCATGTTGGTGCTAACTTGACTTGGCTATGTTTATCCTTCTTATGACACACGTGCCATCATTCATAAGGTAAAATTATATCTATAAAACCTTTTATGTTATTTTTATTTCCTCAATTGCCAAATACTAGAATTTGGTTTTCAGATACAGTGAGGTCGAGAGCCTTTGAAGTCATCTCTTATTCAAAAATATATTTTATAGGTTCTGTATAAATAAACAACTAAATATTTATGGGTTTTTCTCAAAATGAATTTTATGATGCTATGTTTCTCATTCATTTAATTTTCAAAAACACATAAATGCTATCACTTAGTGTTTTATCCGAGTTGTCAATGTTGAGTAATTAGTTTCTTTGGTCATTATTTATATATTTTAATTTATTATGAGTTTACAGATTTATAGATTTTAGTGTTTAATTTATAGAGAGATGTTTATATTATCAAGATTTTAACAATGGAGATATATTTTTTTAAATATCACAATCAAAATTATCAATAAATGAATTGGGGTTAATGAGTAAAACAAAGAAGAAAGTCTAAATTAATATCATTAGTAGATTGAATCATTGAAAAAATAAAAGAATATATTTATAAAATCTCCTTTTAAATCCTGGGTTACTCATCCCTATTTGTGAGTATGTTCTAAATGTTTAAGGCTAAATTCGACAAATATACTTGCAAAGAGGACTTGTCAATCATATAATCATGATTTTTCTAAAGTTAATTTGGAAAAAAATCCTTTTTTTTTTCAGTTGGTTTGACAAGTACTCTAATTTGTTAGAGTATAGTATGTCTTAAGATAAATCATATTATTTGTGATACTATTTTTTAAAATATATATGATTGTGGAAAAGAGGATGGTGGAGTTTTTAATAGAAAATTAAAGATATATTTGAATTTATATTGGCAGCCCTATCAACGCTAATAATAATACATGACAAAATTATGAGGTATTAATGCAACAAAGTTAGGTTGTTAAATTTATTTAAAAAAAATTAATTTGATCGTGCTACAATTGAATATCATAGTCGACTAAATACTTTAATTAATTGTGTAAGGTTCCTGCTAAGATAAGAATTAAATTTTTGTGGGCTTAATGAGTCTGATAAATTTAAAATTAAAATATTTTTTTTGAACTTCTCTAATTTTTAATTGAACATAATGTAGATATAGATAATGTCATAATAAATAATGCCCCTGAAAATTTAAAAAAATATAGCTAATGAAATTTAAAAAGACATTATTAGATTTATATTCATTGCAATAACATGTTTTGTTATTGAATTGTTTTAAGATTATTTTTTTTTTGTTTAATTTTAGTTGGTGATTCTCGTAATATACCTGTAGAAGAAATAAATGATGATTTTGCTATGCTACGTGATTAAACAAGATTAAATTGTTTGACAAATTTTTTTGCATTGCGCATGTTCTTAGGTATATCTCTTAAAGAAATAATTGAGCAACTCTTATCAATCTATAGTTTAAATATTTTAAGATTGCATGATTAATATTATGATGGAGCAAGTAATATAAGAGAATAATTTAATAGGCTGGAGCATTTTTTTTAAATAAAAACAAATTTTCTCATTATATATATTATTTTTCACATCATATTTTTTATCTAAAAGATAAATTGGTTGTCTAAGGTTGTCACAGTCGTAGAGTTCAAGAAATAACAAATTTAATCATTTTAGAGTAGAAATATTCTATAGTATTATCATTATGCAATTTTAAGAGATGAATAATTGTTTTATACAAACATACAAAATTTCTTTTATATGTCGCTTACTTGAATCCAATTAATTCATTTAGGGGATTCGATAAAGATTAAGTTAATCAAATTAATGTATTTCTATCAAATTGATTTTACTTCAATAGATTTAATATTTTTTAATAATCAATTGAAAACTTATATTATGAATATGTGATTTAATGTACATTTTTCATCCTCATAAGATATTAGAAGCCTAGCTAAACAAATAATCCAAATTCAAAATGCTACATTATATCCTCTTATTTTCAAGCTATTGAAGCTAGCATTAAATTCTCATTGTTACTATAAGGTTGTAGATTTACATTATGCAGTATTTATCGAATCCGCCAAAGCTTGCGACGGAGGAGACGGAGATGGAGCGCGCGAGTAACGGTGGAGTAAATCTGCTAAATCCACCTCACAGTAGGATTTGATAAATTCGTATTTAGGTCGCAGAGAAGACGAAAAGGGCGGGAAAGAGGCGGAATGGGAGCGAGTTGGGTTTAACGGAGAGTTGAATTTAGTTTTTCTTTTTCTGGGTGTTAGTTTGGATTTAGGTGAAATCTATGGCTAAATTCTATTAAAAGTGTGCTACCAAACACCTCCTAAGTATTGAATTTCTATAGATCACTTGATAAATGATTTCTGTCACTTATATTAGATGGCATCGATAATGATATAATCATTTGTTAGAGTATAACCCAAGGTAAATCTTATTGATGCAAAGAGGGGATAAATACCAATTACAGGATCTACTAGTAAGGAAACAAATAAAAACAGAATAAAGGAAAAACGAAAGCAAATAAAAGCAATTAATACATATATCTGTATATTAATATTCTAATATTCTTAACTCCACCTCAAGTTGAAACATGGATGTCAGTTATGGTAAAGTTGGATTTGAAATCATTGAACAGTGGTCGAGGAAGATTCTTTGTGAGAATATCTCCACCTGCCCACCAAATGACACAAACAGAACACAAATTTCTCTAGACTCGAGCTTTTCCTCAATGAAGTGACGGTCAATGTCAACATGCTTGGTGTGATCATGCTGGACCGGGTTGTGAGCAAAGCTAATGACGGCTTTGTTATCACAGAACAACGTAGGGGGGCGGAGATTGTCATATGTATTTCGTGGAGCACGATGCTTAACTAGAGAGCTGCACAAATTTCCAGGGACATGGACCGAAATTCAACTTTCACACTGCTCCAAGCAACTACAAACTTCTTCTTGCTTTTCCACGTGACCATGCTTCCCCACACAAATGAATAGTATCCCCAGATAGATCACCGATCATGGAACAATCTCCGTCTGTGTAAACCGCAATAGAACGAGAGGTGTGGTTGGAAAAAACAAACCCGAGCCTGGTGTTCCTTTTAAATAGTGGAGAATCGGGTGGACAACTGGGAGGTAGTGCTTATAGGGATCATGCAATTGATTGACTATTCCAACTACGTGAATATCTCAGGGTGTGTATGGGAAATGTAGATGAGTTTCTTCATAAGGCGTTGGTAGTGAGTCTTATTTATAGGAACTACATTGGGAACATCAAGAAGTTTTTCATTGGGATCCATCGGGATAGCCACTGGATTGCACAAGAGAAGATTGTTCTCTGTTAAAATTTCAATCACATATTTCTGCTTTGACAAAAAAATACACTGAGATGGCCGTGGCCTACCACTATCTTTGTGAATTTCCCGAACCATGTCCGTGATGAATGCTTCAATCCATAAAAGAAATTTCACAGTTTACATACTTTCCCTGAGAGGCAGTGGAGTCAAAGCCTGAAGGAATGTATACCTCCTCTATAAGATCGTTATTCAGGAACACATTCCTGACATCAAGCTGGAATAAGGGCCAATCCATATTCATTGCAAGGGATAAAAGGACCTGAATAGCGTTTAATTTATCAATTAGAGCAAGCGTCTCTTCAACTTTGTAGGTTTGTGAGTACCCGTTGGTGACCAGTCGTACCTTTCTGTGTTCAAAGGATCAATTAACTTTAAACTGGATCCTAAAAATTCATCGACATCTCACTGTTTTTTTGCCCCGAGGAAGGTCAACAATGTCCCAAGTATGGTTTCGTTGAAGGGCATTCATCTCTTCCATGACGACAGTTTTACTTGCTGAGCCTGCTAAGGAAGCCTCAATAGTAGATAGGAGCTGATGATTGGTCAGGACCATAACAAATGCTATGTAGGTTGGTGATAATCTGCAAAGAGAGTTTTTCATGAGATAGTGAGAGCATGTCTGATTGTATACTTTACTAGAGGAATTGAATTTCTCATATGAAGTAGGAGCAGTGCTACGGATGTCGTTTGGAGGGTATTCAATGTCCAACAAGGTGTTAGAGAGCTGCAGAGTAGGTTCATCAGAGCGAGTAAGTCGAGTGTAGACACGGATAGTGAGAGGATGTGCCGGTGGGACCAAAGAGACAAAGGGCTTCTTGGTGATAGGAGAAGTGAGTGGAACTAAAGGAATAGAGGGTTCCTCAATTGTAGGTGATATGGGGCAAACATCCACAGGAGTAAGGTAAGGAACAATGTCCAAAAACTCTAGCTCCTCCTCACTGGAGGCCGATTTAGGAAAGCATGGAATACTTTCAAAAAAAGAGACATCCGCACTAACATAAACCTTATCCTGGTAGAGTCAAGGCACCGATACCCTTTTTAAGTGGTATAGTATCCGAGGAAAGTACATTTTATGGATATGGGATCAAGTTTACCCCGAGTTGGGTTTATGTTCTGAATAAAGGCTGTGCACCAAAAAATTTGGGATCTAAAGTGGAGAATACCTAATTGTTAAGAAAACATAATCTCAAGATGGTTAAAGGGATACGGAAGTAGTGAATTTTTTAAGGAATTCTATTGATGAGTTAAGTGATAGTAATAATGACATAATTCCAGAAATGTTTTTGGACATTATAGTGAAACATAATGTAGCGAGTAACGCCGAGGAGATGTTGGTTTTTTCTCTCAGCTGCCCCATTTTGTTGAGGAGTGTCGGTACATGATCTATCATGGAGGATGTGCTTACTTAACAAGAATTTTTCTAATATATAGTTAAAAAATTCATTGTCATTGTCAGTCCAAAGGATTTGAATAGGATTTTTGAATTGGGTCAAATGAAGGTATAAAAGTTTTGAAAATGAAGCAACTTCAGATTTATCTTTTAAAATATATATCCATGTCATCCGTTTATTGGTATAACTAGGAGTGCGAGATGGTCTCCATAAATCACTGCGAATGAGAAATGAGCAGAAAGTGTGTAATTGTGAGGTAGATAAGGAACACGATGATGTTTAGCTAATGGACATGTATCACATTTGAAATTAGAAGGATTTTTATTAATAAACATCAACAGATACAATTATTTTAGATACTGAAAATTAGAATGACCCAAACGACAATGTGACAATATCATATGACATTTAGTGGAATGAGAAAATTGTAACTACTGAGTGGTGTGTCCCGTTCTCCGTGCTTTTCTCTCGAAAGAAGTAAAGTCTATCAACCCGCTTAGCAGTTACAATCTTTCTCCCTGAATGACAATCATGAAAAACAGACATCAAAACAAAAATGAACAACATAATTAATGTCATATGTCAGTGTACTGACAAATAAAATGTTACACATCAACAGAGGTACGTGTAACAAAGATTCTAAGTTAGACCTATTGTTAAAACAACAGGCCCTTTACCAGCAATTGAATTTTGGGAACCATTAGTAATTTAATAGTATCTTATGACGAGAATGCATGAGAGCTTTCAGTCATGTGATATATGACACCTGAATCAATGATCTATGAACTAGAAGAGACAAAAGAGGTGAGTGTCATATGATTGGTACCTTGACAAACGTGGGAGGTCAGTAGGCCGAAAGAGAGCGGATTGGAGCCAAGCAGCTTGATTAGGCTTCATTTGACTTGTAAGAGAATTGGAGGATTCCAGATTCTTCTAAGTAAAGGTTGGTTGTACTGCGTTGGATTCAAATGTTGTAGCGAGACCCTTGACAGTGGAAGATTTAGCTGACGGTTTGGATGTAGGTTTTCTGTGGAGCTTCCAACATTTATCAGGAGTATGGTTGATTTTGTGACAGTAATCACAAGTTGGGTGACAAGCCTGAGGTTGATCACTATTAGAGACCAATGCGGATACTCCGGCAGACGGAGTGAGAACCAAGCATAACTAAGTCTCCGACTCTCTTCACGACGAATCTCAGTGAAAGTAGCTCGAGTGGAGGGAAGAGGATCTCGACCAAGAATACGGCTCCGAACTTCGTTAAGATCTTTATTAAGGCTTGCCAAAAAATTAGAACATGCGTTCCTTTTCTACAATTCTCAGGAATAGAGATAGGTAGGCTGGAGATTCCTAATTGTAGTCATAATACAGGTCGTATTCAATCCATAATACAACAAGATCATTGTAGTACTGGGTCACGGTCCTCGATCCTTGTTTTGATTCACAGATTTTCTTAGATACCTCATAGAGTTGGTGAAATTTCCTACATCTGATTAGGTATCACGGACTGTCGTATATATGATCGGTTAATCAAATTCTTTATGAATTTGATCAGTCATGACATATTCATGAAATTCTCCACTTCCCAACCTACATATGCTGGGCCAGTCTTTGGAGGTTCACTAATAACACAATTGAGATGACTGAATATGAACATGGATACAGATTGGGATTATTGGAGAAAGTTACCGTCATTTAGTTTATGGTTTGTAATTTAGAATTTCATTTTGTTTTCTTGTCCTCTAGTGTGTAGAGGAACGAAGGTTGGAATTGATCCTCCAATGGACTCAAGAACACTTTATGATGACCGCTCAGTGCTGGAGGAGTCTGTCGTGATTCTCGATTGAGCCAAACGAGATGTTAGGTTGTTGAGACATCATAAGGTTCTGGCTGCTAGAGGGAAGGGATATGGCCTCGTGCAGGGGTTCCTACTAGACTAGATCTTCTGGATAGTTGGAAGAATGCTCCAACGATCAGATCACATGTTCTGGAGAAGCATCAGTTGACTGGGAGGTTAACGGGACCTGGATAGGGACTTTGGTACATGCAGGGATTGCAATTGATGTTGTAGCTACAGTGCGGGACCTGGATAGGGACTTCGGTACGTGCATGGATTGCGCGTTGGTGGAGATGTTTCGTTTACACAGGAATTTCGCTCTATGTATTGCAGGGATCTAGCGGTTATATATTGGGCAGACTGGGTGGTTGGGATGATACAAGGAGACGGGACCTAGATGACTCGATTAGAGGAGACGAAAACCAGGAAACCTGGACTCACAATCGGCAGCAAGGAGAGCCTAGCAGCAGCTAGGTTAGGGCCATGACTCTGATATCATGTTAGAATAGAACCCAAGGTAGATCTTATTGAAGCAAAGTGGGGTATAAATACCCATTACAAGATCTACTAGTAAGGAAACAAATAAAAACAGAGGGAAAAAGGAAAGCAAATAAAAACGATTAATATAGAAGTCTATATATTAATATTTTAATATTCTAATACATTTAATAATTTAAGAATACGAAGACAAGGCATAATAAATTTTAAGTTTTGTTCTTTTAATCATGTATGTTATCTTTTATATTGAATAATTGTAATAAAAGATTTATTTAAACCACTAATGACTGTCTAAAGCTTGGTCAGAAAAAAGTTGAGGGAAAAAAAATTATTTCTGCTTTCACTTCGAAACATTTTTGGTTCCACAATTGAATCTCTATCTTCTATTATCAGGATTGAAGGAGCTTTTTGGAATTTCAAAGGAGGATTACATATTGATAGTTAGTTATGATTGTCGTTACTACTAAAAGACTTGCCTTTGTTAGGTAAACTTGTTGACTTTGCAAGCCCAAACCGCTTTTATATTAGAATTTTTACAGAGGCTTGTTTTAAATGTTTGGCAAACAATAACAATTTCAAAATTTTTTGATGTTCTTAAATTGAAAATGATGTGCAATTATCTTGTTATAGGTTTTCCTATTTATCAAAATTTTGGATGTTTTTAAATTGGAAATGACGCACAATTATCTTGTTATAGGTTTTCCTATTTATCAAAATTTTCTGCTTGTTTAGTTTATTTTGATTGATGTAGATGATGATGATACCTTTGAGAGCAAAATGTGCTCGCTAGTATTTTTATTGTCTTAATAGATTTAATTTACTATTACAAGTTTGCTTCTGCTTGTTTAGTTTATTTTCTTTCCTTTTCTACTGCCTCAGCATCCTTGCTATCCTGTAGTTGTTGCAGTAGTGATTACTGCTACTTTCTTCTACTTTAGTTTTATCTACTAGTCTCTAGGTTCTTATTGCATTAGCTATTACGCTTCTTTGTATGCGTGCTTTGCTTTTCAGCTACTTCGTATATCTCCCTTGTTCTTCACATTCGTTTAATTAGACTATTTTTTATTTTCACTTTCTACCGTAGCTAAGTCAGATGATCTGTTTTCTTAGTAAAGCCTATTGTTACCTGTCTGCCAATTGTTAGCCAATTTTATGCCATATTTACGAAAATTTTCAATTTATTTAATTTTTTTAGTTTTTTCGGTCATAAATAGGACCCTGGGGCATGTAATCTTATAATGAATTATCAAATAATTTTTTCTCTTCAACTTATGTGCTATTAGATTTTATTTTTTTGAGAGCGTTGCAAAATCCTAACAGCAACTATCACTTGGGGCTTCTTATTCTTTCAGGAAGCTTGAATCTTCAAGCTAGTGACTTCTATTCTTGTTCTCCCCTCTAATGTTAAATCAAGATCTTGCCAAATGGTTTCAATATTTAAACTTTCATTTTTATTGCTCGATTAATTGAAATAAAGCTCGGCTAGTTACAAAAGGACTCACATTGTTTTATGGAATTGACTATTTTTACGACTCCTCTCTACTTTCTAAATTTAGCTCTGTTAGAAATCTTATGTTAGTGGCCATCAGTCAAGAATGGTCTTTGCAGCAAATGGGACTGGGGTAATGCCTTCATCTATAGTGACTTATAAATGCTTTTTAAATGAAGCTGATTATGTTGCTCAGGAAGAGAATCACATGTCTACTCAAGAAGATTATTTATAGGTTTTAACTTCTTGAAATTTCTTATCAAGCTCGGTTCAAAAATTTCTGTGAAGTTCTTGACTAAGATTGGCCTTTATGATAGCATCATAGATTATTCCATCTTTGTTAGGCACACTTTAGACTCTTTTATTCTGATTGTTTATATTGATGACATCTTACTCAACAAGATTGAACAAAAACAAATTTATATGGTTAAACAAAACTTCTAATTTTGTTTTATCACTAAAGATCTAAAATGCCAAGTATTTATGGGGTGGTTGCTTTTACCTAAAGCAAAATGGGGGTTATCACTTTCTCTTGAGAAATATAAAATTGATCTTCTTGGCTGCAAACTTGCTAATACCACTACCCAGATTCTTGTTCTTTGATGGTTCATATTGATATTGAAGATTGATAAATGTTTATTTGTCTGGTTGTCTTTAGGTTTGAATTTTTTTCCTTGATAGAGCGGTGAGCCATCGCATACAAATTCTAAACTCGAAGCAGCGGGAGACTATTTTCTACGCATTCTTAGGCACATCAAAAGTACGTACTTAAATATCTAAGCATTTTCGGATGTTTGACTTAGCTAGATTTGTTCAATTGAAGAAGTTGACTGATAGATATTGAATTTTTGGGGGATAACCTAGTCGCATAGAACAACAATAAACAAAGTTATTTTGACAAGATCTAATATGAAGGTTGACAATGGATCTATGGCCATATTGCATATGAATGGTGTGGGCAAAGAATTTCTTCTTAGGGTTAGGATTTTCAATTACAAAACTTATGATTTTTAACTGTGATAATTGCGTTGCCGCCTATATTCCTAGCAACCCTATGTTATATAAAATAACTAAATAAATTGCAAATGATTGTCATTTCATTATGGATGTATTTTTTAAGAATGTTAAAAATGCATATAATAGTGGATCACATGAGGGCACCCACGGTTTAGGAAACTATAGGCCCACTGCTACATTTTTGGGGAGAAATTATTTTCCCTTAATTATCCATATTTGCATTTTTAGTTTCCTTTTCATGATGATTTGAACTTTCCTCCAATTTTAAGGGTTAGTATGAGCTGTGTATATATTTGTTATTTGCTTGTAGTAGTTGTATAAGAAAATAAAGAATTTTTTCCTCTAAGAAAGTTCCTTCTAAATTCCACATGGCAGTAAAGCTTGTAAATAAACCATAGCTCTCTTTCATTCTCCGGACTCTCTCCCTCCAACCACCAATCCCCGCAAACCTTCCATTGGATTCTCTCCTTGCCGCCGCCTTTCTATGGGTTTTCCTTTCTTGGTCTCTTGTAACAATCTTGAGAATTTTCTATGTTTAGTAGAAATCCTGCAATGTCGAAAGAAGATAGTTTCTCTTTTTATTGAAAATTTTGTGTCTGGGACAGATAGTTTCTCTCTGGTGCAAATCACGTGTCAGTAACAAGCAATCTCTCTCTCTAGTGGAAATATTGTCTGCGAGAGACGGTCCATCTCTGCAAGATATTTTGTGAACAAATAGTTGGTCCCTGGTGACACTACATCTTGGCGACACCTTATCATGAATTCTACTTCTTCTTTTCAAAATTTACCTCCGAACCTGAACTTAGGATGTTTGGCACTATTATTGGTTATCAACCAGAATTGGGTTTTACATCAGCTAGACATAAAAATGCATTTCTTAATGGGGATCTTGAGAAAGAAGTGTATATGGAGATATCTCCAGGATTAAAGAACAACACAAATAATCGGTTAATGCAAATTAAAGATATCATTATATGGTTGAAACAATCTCTCAGAGCATGGTTTGAACGGTTCACCAAGACTATTCTTGCCAATAGGTAATATCAGCGTTAGACTAATTACATTTTATTTATCAAATGAAATCAAGAAGGTGTGATAGCTATCTTTATTTATAAGTAAATGACATTGTACTTACATATAGTGATGTAAGGGAACTTGAAACAATAAAAAAAAATAATAGTTTTGGACTTAGAGATCAACTTGGAACTTTACGATACTTCTTGGGAATAAAAGTAGCTAGATCCAAAGAAGACATTATCATATCTGATAGAAAATATATCATTGACTTTTTAAAGGAGACAGGAGTGTTGAGGGTGCAATTCAACAAATACTCCTCTAAATCCTAATCAACGAGCATCAAAAGGAGAGAATAACACCCCAGTTGAAAAAGGGAGATATCAAAGGACTGTGGGGAAATTTATTTAAACATACAAGATCTGAAATTGCTTTTCTTGTCGGTTTAGTGAACTAACATATGAATGATCCAAATGAAAATCATTTAGAAGCGATCTTTTGAATCTTGTGGCACCTAAAGATGACTCAAGGATGTAGATTGATATTCAAGAAAATCGGGAACCATAATATTGAGATTTACACTGATGCTAGTTGGGTAGAATTGACTTACAAGATCTACCACGGATTACTGTTCATTTGTATGGGGGGTAACTTGGTTATTTGGAGAAGTAAAAATAAGTTGTGGCGGCAAGAAGTAGTGGATAATCTGAGTATCGTGTTCCAGCTCTAAGAATTTGTGAAGGGATGTGGCTAAAGAAATTACTGGTGGAACTATAAATGGAGAACAAAAGCACTATTAAGTTGTTTGGTGATAGTCAATCAACCATCAGTTTTTCAATGAATCTGGTATATTGTGATCGAGCCAAACATATAGAGATTGACAAACACTTCATCTCTGATAAGGACAATGGAGGGTGGTCCAGCTAAGCTATATCCTAACTCAGTACCAAATATCTGGCATTCTTAACAGGGATTTTCCTCGGCACCAGTTTAGTGATCTCAACAAGTCTTGGATGTATGACATATACAACCTAATTTTGTGGGGGGTGATGTTGATATTTATATAACCATAGATGACATGGGCCCACCCACTGTTTAAGAAACTATGGTTCTACTGCTACATTTGAGGGGGAGAAATTATTCCCTCTTAATTATCTAATATTGCATTTTTATTTTTCTGATTATGATGATTTGAATTTCTCTCCAATTGTACCAGACTTAGTCTAAGTTGTATATCCATTAATTATTTTATTGTATTAGTTGTGTGAGAAAGATGCAAAGAATATTACCGTTCATCTTCCTAAATTCCACAAAAAATTAGAGATTGATGTTGAATTGTGACTATTAGCAAGTAATTCTCTTTTAGATAATTCTTCTAGGTTGAAAATTTTTAAAAATTTTACAGCAAAATACTAGGATTTTTCTTCATTGCCAGGATTAGGTTTTCAATGTGCTGAATTAATTCAGTTTTCCGTTTACCTTTGTCTATTAATATGCATATATCATGAAGTAAATAAGATAAACATTTTGAAATATATTCTATTTTCACGTTTTTACCCTGTAGAATAAAGCTATATTTGGCTAAAAAAATGAACTCTCAAACGGATTGATTATGTTCTATTTAAAATACCTATTAATTGGATTACATGTATTCTAAAAACTTTGTGGAAGCTCATAAAGAGCTCTGTGAAGACCTGTTAACATTTGTAAAGGCCCGCTTTTAATAAGGTTTAAAGGCCATTGCCTAGACCACTTTATGGAGCAATATTGTGACTTTGTGAAGAGTGTTAATTTTGTTGGCTTGTAAAACCTTGAAGGAGTCTTGTAAGCGCACAATCTGATTTCATATTTTGATTTTTTTGTTTTTTTTTTTGATAACAAATATTGTAAAATCTATTTAGCCAATGCTTCAAATGTTATTCTAGGAAATTTTATAATAATTTCCTAATTTTCATAATATAAATAATATATCATAGTGAGTAAAACTATCATTTTTTGGTTTAAGATGGCTTAAATGTTTATTTTTCTTGCTTGTTAACTATTTTCTGATGTATCGCTTAAATGTTGCCTTTTCTTGCATGTTTCCTTTTATCTGCTGTATCTAGTTCACTTGTCTCTTACATGTGAAGAGCAAAATGAAATTTTTATAAAATTAAAGAGCCATACTTATATGCAACATTTAATTCCAAATGGATTTTCTTTGTTATCTACACAGCACTTAAGAAATCATTAGATCAATTCCTTTTTTAAATTTGTTAACATTAAAATTTAGTATTCGATATAGCCTTATGGATCAATAAAAGAAGGTTTAATCCATCTTCTTGCAATTGGAGGATGTGGTTGCTAATTTCACCATCCAAATTACTAAATATAATTATCTCAAATTTTGTGCAAGCCGTGTCCATGACATGATATCATTTGAATGTATAGGTATCTTACCTTTGTTTGTATTACTTTCATAGATGGGAGCGGCCAGACAATGTTTCCTTATAATGCTGTCTGCCACCTCAAGATAAAATCCTCTCCACTTTACCTATTGCTTAGTCTCTTCTATACATAAAACATAGGGAAGCAGGCCACAAAGAGAAGAAAAAAAATGTTCTGTTAGTTTTTGTTGTGAGGTGTTCTACCATTGTGCTTAATTTGTTTCTTATGGATATTCTAACGTCAAGCCTATTTATTTCTTATGGAAAACTATGTATTAGGTTTTATGAAGCCAAAAAGGTCGGTCTGTGTAAAACCTTATGCAAATGAATTTTATATTCCTTGTGGCAAGTAAATTGTAATCTGCTCAATACATTTCAAATAAATTCATTTAGATTTTCTTTTCTGATTGAATTTAATAAAATTCTTGCCGGCCCTTAACACAAGAATAAAATTGAAGAATGCTCAACAAGAAGCCAATCTGCCACAAATAGCTTGATAAGGTGGTTGGCCATGATGTCTACTTGACTAAAGACCAACCATTTGGGGCTATTACATAATGTACTACTTTCGAATGCTAATAGGACCATGGATTGATTATGTTCAAGTACTAATGGAACTGTTGATAACTTTATGTATGTTTTTGGCCACTTGTTCATTTTGATGTCAGCACACGCACATTTTATTGGTTTTCTTTGCTATCGAAGTCGCAGTAAATATGGTGCTGCTGTTTTAACTATGCCGTTGGCACCCTCAAGCACTATCTATTATAGTGACAACTGGTGCACGTGAGATGAATTTATAATCTGCTAAATATTGGAAGTAAACTGAACTTTGCAGACTACATTTGAATAAAGCATTTTGATTTTTTTTTTTAAGGTTGAATTCTAAATGCAGATTTTAGTGCAAGAAGAAATATAAAAAATGAAGAATGATTGCCATGAAGCCTACCCACCTCTAAGAGTTAATATTGTCTGTTATGATGATTAACTGATCAAGGATTATCAGCCATTTGTGGGACATCTATAAGGTACTTTTACGTGCATGACAACTATTTTAGTTTCTAGTTAGCTTAATGAATTGATTCTGCTCCAAAACAGTTTGGGCTATCATTTTAATTTGCTGTTATTGTCTTCATTCCATTATTAATGAGCTTATTTTAATGTGTGCTACTGGCTTTATACTTCTGAAGTTGCAGGAAATGAGGTGCTGCTACTGTTGTTATTTGCTCCAAGCAAATTACAATTGGTGCATGTGATTTATTGGATTTGCAATTAATCAGATGTGTTACGTCGTTTTTAGCTAAGGTAACTCTTTGTCATGAAATTTAAGGTTTTCTAGTCTAGCCATAGCATTCAAGTTTAATACTTTACAAGCTTATTTCTAGGCGTTATGCTTTCACTTTTGGTGTTGCTTCCGGAGCTTTATGTGAAGTATTAGTTTTTCTGGATGTCCTTTTGTCTTATTGAGCTAGAGATAAAGGGAAAATATATTTAGATATTCTATGTATTTAAATTTTGGTATTTGAAAAATAATGTCAACTTTAGCAAAATGAGTAGCGTGAAAGATTGTATTTCATGGTTTATTCAACTTTATATTAAAGAAGACATATTTAGATATTCATGCGTGCTGGCTTTGTGATGTATCGTATCGTTACTCAGAATTGGTGACAAATCCTGGGAATCAGAGATATGCGTGGGAGTAAATTGTCGGTCATGCAATGCTGTTTTGCATAATAATTCATGAAAATTGAGTATAAAATACATGTGCATGAGCTTCAGCTATGATAAGAGATTTTTTATGGTAAAAAATATAGATTGCTTAATAATAAGACCTAAACTAAGAAGTCTGGTAGATACCATTGTGTTAACTTGTGCACTCTCACCATCTTCATGAAAAATATGCTTGCAATGTAGGATATGTCATATGCACTATGAGAATTAATTTAAAAAAAAAAAATTCTAGCATTCTCAAAAGCAGTATGTCTTTGAAAAATTTCATAGAAGATCATTAAATAAGGTACAATATCAAATGGGTCAATGTCACACGGCCCCCCCTAGTAATAGGTAGTCTAATCCTAACTTAATTTTTGGGCTACTCATATCTTCAATGCCATCATTGAAACTAGGCGTATTATTAATGATCTTTTAATACCTTCATCCTCCATATTATTATTTTCCAAAGAGTTATTAAGTTTTACACCATTGTTGTATATGTACTTTCTTGTGCCATTTTAAACAATTGACATCTTTATTATCTTTAGAGGTGGATTCAGTGATATTCTTAGTGACAGGGACACTAACTAGGAAAGGATTAGGTCTAATAGCAGACATTTCATAGACTAGGGAGTGGTTTGAGTTCTAGTCTTGGTGTTTCTACTTTAACCTTTTGAGTGGGGTCTGAGTATATCCCTTTAGAGGGTACTGGTTAAAAAGCTCATTTATTTTATTAAGCTAATTAAGGAATTCATTGGTATCATAAACCCCATAAAAGAGGGTGTGAAGTGGGAGCTTTCCCGCACTTTTTCCTCATGGTACTTTAGTTGTTATATTGTCGTAGATTCAAAATCATGGGAGACGAGTCACAAAAGTAGTCCCGTTTTCTTTTCTTTTGATTTCTTTTTTATTATCTTTCATTCTCTTTTAGTTATTTTTTATATATGTGTTGTATTAGGGTTTGGAAGACAACTTTTGGCGTATGTTTCTATTCAGGACAGCCGCCGACTACCGTTGTTCCCTTTCTATGGCTGTATCCGAAGGTGAGAAGGAGCTCCGGCTATAACTCATCTGAGGTGGTGACTGTTTCCAAGGTTTTGAGTGGTGCTTCGGCTGTTGCTTGATTCTGCAGGGATATTTATCCTTACCCAACTCCTCCGCAATCTTTCCAACCATCCCGCTCGCTTCAGCAGTTCTTGGACAATCCTCCCCTTTGCTATCCCGCTGCCCACCACCCTTCCCCTTAGCTACCACTCGCTGTCCTAGCCACCTACTTCGTTGTTTTTTTGTCCCACCTCAACACTGCAACCTCTTCCCTTATTGCCATGTCATTGTCCATCCGTCTGATGACACTGTCGTGGACCCACAACTCCTTTCCTTGTTGTCGTGAGCTTACCCGTCCCTTCCAAAACCCTGCCACCACTTCCTTGATGCAGCCACCTCACAGTACCTTGCAGCCTCCTACCTTCCTTCCATCCGACAAGAAACCACAGTCGTCCCTTGCTGCTTTCTGACCATTCCCCCACTCACATGCGTACTTTTCCTCTGTATAACTACAATACCCCATTCCTCGACCTAACCTCTAGTTGAGTTGTGTTGTGTCTTTGCTTGTATCTTATTTCTCTATTGTGGTTCTAGTTAACTCTGGTATCAGGTACTACTTTAACATTTTGAGTGGGTTTATTAAAGTCATCACCATTTCTAGCTTGGTTCTCTTCCCTAGAGTACTTTCTATGCCCTGAATTGTGCTTGATATTTGGGCTCTCTACATGAAGCTTTTATAAGAGATGGTTTCGGTAAGTGCTACAGTTTGTATTTGCAGCTTAAGATTCAATCGATTAACTTGGCTCAGCATAACTTTAAATAAGGTTGGCACATTATTGTTTTTTAAAGATTGTTTGAACTTATTTCAGCTTACATCACAAGTATTTGACTTAACATTTTGGTCTTTAATTATTTTGGCTGATCTCTCAACTTTTTACTAGTTGATTTAAGTGGCATGCTATTTCAATAAAATCAGGATGCACAAATAGTGCAGTTACAAGCAAGTAATTAAAATGTGCAAGTAAAGTTAGGATATACCAACAATACAGTTGCAAATAAGAAATTAAATTAAAATGCGTTAGGTTGAGTTTTTGCTATTATGAGATATATATATATATATATATATATAATGCCGCGAGCTTACACAAAATTATCTAAAATAGACTCAAGTAGCATACAAATAAGTTGAAATAGTATAATTTGATTAGTTCATGCCAAAGATATATTTAGGGTCTTATATTTTGATGAATATTAGAGATGAAAGATACTAATTATATTTTAAAGAGCTCACTTCTTTATCACTCAAGTGGTTTTTAGTGGGAGGGCTAAAATGGAGAACCTTTTAATTATGTGGAGTAAACTAATTGGAGTAATATCATACAACTTACTGAATTAATCATAGACAAATCGGATTTATTACATAATATTAAAACAATTGCACAATTATATTATGAAATGCTTCCTTATGTACTTGTTCCTTCAATGTTTGCTATTTTTTCCACTTTAAACTCTAATAGCAAATTTGGTGGATGGGCCTAAGGCTTGCCTTCGAGTACGAGTATTATTATTTTTTAATAGGAAGCCTCACAGAATATCAATGAAGTTATGGTTCTAATGATTAGGGTTTGTGTGAAGGGATTAAGGGAAAACTCAAGTTAAGGATCTATGATACAACGTACAACCTAAGGGTCAAAACAATTTAAAGATTGTTGATTGAGATTTTCTAGAGGTGTTTTAAAAAGGTTTATGAATTTTTATGAGTTTTTATATTTTTTTCTAGATTTTTCTTGAAGACTAGGTCATGCATGCGCCTAAATCTTGCAACATGTTTTGGTTTAAGAGAATTAGTAAAATTCTTGTTAAAGATACTAAAATGATTGTCTATAGTCTTTTTGAAGGTTAGATTTGGCCCCGTCTTGGTCGACCATTTCAAGGTGGGTTTGGGTTCAGATTTTGTGGGATATTTGGAGTTGAAGAATTATGCATTGGGAGGGGTGGTGCTAATGAAGGATGAGTAAGAATTTTATAGCAATAAAACTAGGGTTCTACATCTAAAAAAAATCTGCAATGAAGAATAAAATCTATTAGTCATCAAGTTAATATGATTGTAGAATATCATTGTATCCCCATCTTTTTGGGCTAGTCACCAAGTATTGAAGTCTTGGATGAAAATTTATTCAAGATTGTTTTCTCAAAAACCGCAACAAACGATAATTAGAATGCAATTAAGTTAAGGAAAAAAGAGGTGAAATGCATTCGAAAGGAGGGAAGGGGATGGTAGGCCCTTAAAACTCAAAAACCTTAAATATTATTTAATGTCATTGTTTCATTCAATTAATTATTAACTCCTCGTACTAAATAATGATTCCCTAAAAATTTAAACTCCCATGAAAGGTAAATTTTAAAATTTTCATATAATTCAGTGATGTTGAACTTCTCGTTAAATCAAAAAAGGTTATGTTAGATTTTTAGAGAGTTTATTTTTAGTATATTCTGTTATTACAATATTTTTTATTTCTAGAAGTTAGAATTATCAGTACGTTATAATTCTTGTTTTCTTTTTTATTATGGGGAGTTATAACTTATTTTATTAGTTTCCTAATGTGGGAGTCATCCCCTTCTATTTATCTTGTAATCATGAAATTGAAGATGAATAATTATTTCCTGCTCCCAAAACCTACATCGTATCAAAGCAGCTTATTGCCTTCGAAATTGTGAACAATTTCATCGGCTGGGTCATCCACGAGTCCTACTGTTGCGAGCGGCTTCGCTTTGCTTCGCTCCACCTCTACCATAAACCAGTGGGGAATATGAAGACCTTCTCGCATGACCTTTCTCTGATGAAATTTCCCCAATGTTGTTGGATTCAAGGTTCCAAATATGATTGCTCCATCCTTACTATTTCTCTAGCGTTGTAGTAGGGTGACCTATTTTTAGTTCGAATTGGTGATTGTAGTCACTGCACCTAGGCCATGCACACTGCTCTGCTTTTTTCATATTCTGAGGATGTCATAGTAATCAATAAATGATGACCGAAGCTCGAATAAATTCTACCATATCGATCGATTCTAAGAATTCCAAAATTATCTCACCTAACCCTACAACTCCTGTGATGGGTGTATCGATTGAATTTTTTCTCATAATTTACCATCTTATCTCACAATTATAAAATTTAATGGACACAATTCCCTCGAGTGAGCTTCAATCTATAAAATTGACGATCAATAGAAGAAGCAAAATTGGGTATTTGACCAGAGAAATTTTAAAACTTATTAATAGCGATTCAAATCTAAAATAATGGCAGTCCAAAAACTCTCTGGTGATGACATGTCTCGTCAATTCCATGAAACCTTCCATAGGAAAGCCTTGTCTATTTCCTTCAATTGCTCGAGATATCTGGAAGGTTGTTCGAAATCTCTATTTAAACGTGTAGAATTCTTCACAAATTTTTGAGTTAAAAACTCAACTTTCGAAATCCAAACAAAATGATCGTGATATTACTACATATTACAATAAGTTGGTAACATTATGTCAGGATGTTGATCATTGTTATAATGATATTTGGGAGAATTCAAATGCTTATGTTCACCACAAGAGGAGAGAGAAAAATGACCAGGTCTATATGTTCTCAACTAGCCATAATCAGAGTTTTGACAAGGTTCAAAGTCAAATCCTTGGTACGAAACATCTACACTGAATTTAATAAATCTGTTTTAAAGTTAGACGAGAAGAGTTAAGAAGAAAAATTATGATGTGTGACACTGAATTGTCTAGTAACATTGAACAAGAGAACTTTTGCTTGTGTCAAAAGGTGTTGATATCAATGTTTAAAAAGGCGTTATTGGAGGCGCATCCTTGGGTGAGGCATGAGACATTTTGCCCCAATGAGGGGGTCATAATCCTCATGGGTGTACGCCCAATAACTTATTTTGCGTACCACGAGGGACATACACCTAACCCTATTATTCTTTACATAATTATGTATTCTTATATAAAAAGGATCCTAAATATTTACGAATGTAATTCTATTTATTTTTATAATTTAGACAATGATGATAATGAGAAATGAATTGTGAATACATATGGGACTAGCATGGCAACTTTAATAAAGTGGTCATTAAATGTAGACAACATGAAGGACTTTGTTGTGATTTCGGCAAAACTATTAGTGAAGAAGAATAAGCAAAATTTTATGAATCAAGTTGAAGAATAAATTATATTCAAGAATTGAGATCAATTGAGCACAACTAGTTTATTTTATGGCTCAAACATAATTACTCATTATTATATGCTTGTACTTCTTGTGGTGGATTTATGTCAATATCTTGAAGATTTTAGTTCTAGAAGACATGTTAAAGTTGAATGAGTAGAAGCTATTATTTTTTTATCTTAGTTGCTTTATGCCTTATATTTATTTTGCACCGTGGGGCTTATGCCAGATGATTTGAGGCTTACATCTTGCCTTGTAACAGCTAAAACACTTTGCCCAACACGTTTGTCTTTTAAAATATTTATTGATACTAACCAATAAGGGGATAAGAAACCATGGTATGAACATTGCAAAAAATCATGACACACAAATGAGACTTGTTGGAAGCTACATGATAAACTTGCAAATTAGAATTCAAAATTGAATTGTAAAAATCGAGTATTTGAAACCACTGCTGAAGAAACTCGAGAGCAATCTTCTGACTTGAATGTAATCCCTTTCACCTAAGAGCACTTAGAGCACTTGCCCAAAATTATTTCAAGCTCCAAAGTTGTCCCTGACCCCGTCTTGCTCCTTCGTACAAAGGGATAACTCTTTGACCACTGTTTTGTTAGGTTTTTTTTTTTTATTTTTCTCATTCTTTGATAATTGATTCCAGCGTAATTGATCACATGACTGGTCATCCTAAATTATTTTTCTCCTTTAAGCCTGTGCAAGCAATAAAAATGTCAAAATTATTGTTGGTTCCCTCTCGGTAATTGTGGGGATATGAACTGTCAAACTCTTGTTGTTAACCATTCACAATGTTCTACATGTTTATAATCTATTGGGTAACATGTTGTTAATTTGTAAAATTACTATTGATCATCAATGCTAAGCTAACTTATTTTATTCTTCTTATTGTGTGTTTATAAAATTGACCAGGAGCGGGATGATTGGAAGTGCTAAGGAAAAAGATGGACTATTATTTTAATCATGAACTTGACTCAAATAGCCAATATCAAAGTCCTTGTTTAAATTTTATTTATGTTTCAAAAGACAATGAAATTATGTTATGACATAATATGTTATGTCATCCAAATTTTCAATATCTAAAATAGTTATTTCACAAATTATTTCAGAATATTAATATATATATATAT